ACCCTTGGTGATGTCCGCGAGTTTGAACGCACCACTGAAAGGGTGTAGAGTGGCGCTAGAGGCTGGCGCTAGATATTGCGGTGGCGGAAGAATCACAAGCCACAGTTACCTTTTAGAGCTTTGTTAGGAGGAGAGAGAGAGAGAGCCAAAGAGATGCAGAGACAGAGACAGAGTACACGCAGAGGGAGAGTATAGAGAGAGAATGCGTGTAGCAGCAAATCTTAAAAGTTCTTCTTAATAAAATCAAACCCAAAGCCCGTTATTGGGGTGAACACTGGAAGATCAGAGAAGCAGAACAAGCCACAGCCACCTCGCCTGCCAACTTCTCAGCTGATCCTCTTTCATCGGACAGGAAGCCTCTGAGTCCTCATCCAAATGGATCTCAGCTGAACTGCTGCTCAAAAGCCTGAAAGCTTAACCAGCCTAGTTCCTGGTTTTCACGCCTTATATACCTTTCTGCTTTCTGCCATCACTTCCTGGGATTAAAGGAGTGAGTCACCATGCCTGGCTGTTTCCAATGTGGCCTTGAACTCACAGAGATCCAGACGGATTTCTGCCTCTGGAATGCTAGGATTAAAGGTATGAGTGCCACCATTTTCTAGCCTCTGTATCTAGTGGCTGTTCTGTTCTCTGACCCCAGATAAGATTATTAGGGTGCACAATATTTTGGGGAACACAATACCACCACAAACGCGTGGGAATGCACGTCCGCTTCTTAGGCTGGGATGCAGTCGCAAGCTGATGACGCAATAAGGACAGAATCCTTACAATTAGAGGCTGTGATAGGGAAAGGGACATGATGTGCTCATCAAATTGTCTTCTACATGACTATGCTTAATGCTCATAGATTAGTGCTGCTGTCACCTTTGGTAAGAGAAGCTTTCTTCTGCAGTGACTGATGGTAACTGAGAGATTCACGAGAACAGGTGACTGTTGACTTCTCAGCCATAAATGGGACATCTATATCACACCCCCTCTAAGGCTAGAAGAACATTTCAGAAGAGGGAGCAGAATGTAAGAGCTTGAGGAAGGGGTGGAGTGTTGTGGAACACAGTCTTGTGTGTCATGACTGTTAAACTCTTAAACTCACAGCAGCTGTTACCTACACAAGACTTGCGTACGACTGGTCTGACTCACACCTATATGGGGGCAGTGTGGGTTCAAGAGACCTCATCCATCCCTGAGGATTTCAAGGCAGTTAATGATTACTGAGGGAGGAAGAGACATTTTGTAGTCACTGGTAATTTGTCCCAGCTCCTGTAAATAACCCCTCGCACATGGTCCTGTACACAGCTCTAATGAAACTCACTGGGTCACACATATGCACAAATGAAATGAAAGTGCAGAGGAACTAGTTGGGACAAAGAGGCAGATCAGTGGGAGTGGAGGGGACAAGAGATCATAAAGTGAGGTGACCATGATCAAAGTACATTATATACAGTTATGAGAATGTCACCGTGAAACCCATTATTATGGATACTTAACATATGCAAATAAAAATGTAAAGACAAGGGCAGAACACAAAATACACAAATCGGAAGTCCATGAGTAAATAACCAGGAAAGAAACTTTCTTCTATTCTCACAACCTGTCCAGCAGAATACATTATATTTTATATACTACAAACATAAATATATCTTCTTATTAGGGATTTTTTTTTATTGTGATTACTCTATTTTTCCCTTTTTCATTGTATGTTTGGTATCTTGAGGAGAATTCCACTCATGGTTAGGTAAAGGTTGTCAGACAGGATGAAATGCTCCAGAGGAATGCAGATCATTTTGACATCCTGTCTTGGGACTGTTTGCAGTAATTAGATATGCACATGGATAAAAGCACACTTGGACGGGAGTGTGATAACTATCTGAGGATAGGAAAGGGCTCTCTGAACTGTGTAGGAGAGTGTGCATGTGAGCATGCAAGCATAAATACATGTTCAAACATGCCAGCCAAGAGTATAATAACAGTTGTTATCACTCCTTGTGCACTGAACAAATACATGTTCAAACATGCCAGCCAAGAATATAATAACAGTTGTTATCACTCCTTGTGCACCACACAAACCTGGCATTGTGGTACACACCTGTAATCCCAGAGCTCAAGAGGCAGCAGCTGGAGCACCACAAGTTCAAACTTGTCCTTGGCTATATAGTAAGTTCAAGGCCACCTTGGGCTACATAGTAAGGTCCAGGCCAGCCAGAGCCGAACAGCAAGACTCTGTCTCAACATAAACATAAAAATAAGATAAAATGGATGGACAAGCGATCACTTATTCCCCATACAGTTTTGTTTGTCTGCTACAGTTTAATAGGCTTCTGCTGCTCTGAACTTAACACTTTTCAGAACCCATACTGAAGAAGCCATGGTTATTAATATTCTAATCCACCCCTTGAAATCCTGCCCCTTGGGACCTCCCTGCATCTTGACGTAGAAACCTCTTCTTAGTGAAAATCGCTGCCTCTCTTTCTCTCTCTCTCTCTCTCTCTTTCTATCTTCTCTCCCTCTTTCCTATCTTCTCTCCATCTCTCTATTATAATAAACCATTTCCTCGCAGATGTAGCGTCTGGGTTGTGAATGTCCACCTGCCACCCTACCACCATGCCTGCATGGAGTGGGCCGCCCACCAGCCCACTGCTGCATCTGCCCAGCATGCCAGCATGTTTCCCTTCACTTGTGCTAGTGACTCAACAGGGGTCCTCCTGGTGCATTTCTTCTGCCTGCCATCAGACTGAGACTTGCTAGGAGCCCTGGAACCTTCAACACTCACTTACTTCATCCAACACCAACATAATCGGTAAGCTCCCCCCACCTTTGGCCATTTTTCCACAACTGAGGATTTGTTCATCTCTCGATCATGGTGCCAGCACCATGTGTCTTTCAGGCTCATAGCCGCTCGGCCCCTACTCCTATGCAATAGCATATGGGGGCAGCCTGTGCCCTCCATGGCCCATAGCCTTTGTGATGACATTCCATTGGCTATCTTGTGCCATTAGTCCTCACTGACTCTCTGGGATGCTGGAAGTCAATCTCGTTTCACTTGCTGGTACCACATCTTTCGGGCTCATAGCCTTTTAGCCCCTGCCCCTGCGTGATGGCATATGGAGGAGGCCTGTTGCCACTCAATTCCATGGCCCATAACTTCTGTGCTGACGTCCACTTGCCATTTTCTGCCATTATACCTCATTGTGGAAAGATGCACCTACCCCCTCCCAGCTCCCTCCCCATCCCCCACGCCCCCATGCTCCTCCAGCCTCCGCTAAGTGATTATGTCTTCACCCTAACCAGGTCACCAGGTTCCTTTCCATGACATGTAAAACTGCCCGCCAGGAAAAGCTCGCTCTCTCTGCCTGTCCTTGCCTGCAATTCCTTTCCTTGTCTGTAATTCTACCTCTTAAATCTTTTCCCTCTGTCGCTTAACTCTGTTGCCAGAACCTCCTGTTTCACCCTGCTCTACCGGCTGCTCCGCCACTGCTCAGAGCCAAGCTTCACTTTACCTATTCCTTATCTGTTCAGTTTGTTTTGACCAAAACAAACAAACAAACAAAAAAAAAAAAACAACAACACATGAACATGTGGTCAGGCACCATATTTGATAGAGGTGATCACATGATCAGGTGGTGCCACCTTACATAACCATGTGTTCAAGCCGTCATCTTGGCTAAGATCAAGGTCACATGAACTCACCATCATCTTTACAAAGGGCAGTGTGGACAGGGTGCCCTGGGCGCTGAGGCCATTGGTATGGAGGGAGGTTAGGGAATTGCCTCCCACCATGCATTGTTTCACCACTGTTTTCTGGGCCAAGGAAAAGTCCTCCAGCCATCTGGGCGGAGGGAAGTCCAGTGGCAGCCTACCATTCATTCCTCCACAGCTGTTTGTGTGGGTGGGGCCCTGAGAGGTATGCACTCCCCTCTCAGGCATCAGAAGAACCACATGCAGGTGGTGTTGTTATATTAAGATTGGGATCTTTCCCTGACATTCTTCTTTGCCTTCTCAGGAGACAGCTTAAGAAATAATTATTTCTATATAAGTCATTCAGGATTATAATCTGGCTGTACTCAAAGATCAGCCCCCTGTCCTTGCTAACTTCATGAAGCTGTAACTAACTGGGAAACCTGTATATTCAGATTTAAGTCATATATGCTCCCAAAGTTATAAATACATCTAACAGATTTTATTCCCCCAGTCCTCAAACACCTGTAGAGATCTGAGGATATGGCATTTAATATAAAAACTTTTTATGATAAAGAGACATGTCAGCTCCTGGCAGCATCCTATATCCCCTCCAAGAAGATAGATGGCAACAGAACCTCCACCCAGAAGTTTATGGCAAGGATGGCCACGCAGTGAGAAGCTAAGATCCTGTCCAGACTGTGAGTAAGAGGAACAACAAGGATCAGTCATCCTCTCTGCCAAGACAGGTAGGATGACCTCCCCAAATTTCTACTTCACAAAAAAAAAAAAAATCAGTCAGATCTTCTAGGCTTATCAGCTGAACAAATAATGCCTTTGGGGTTTCTGTCCCCATAACGACCACGACTTGGGATTGCTGCCTAGGTAGCTAGAAAGCTGTCTCACTTCTTAAATTTATCTTTCTCAGATCTGATGATGTTTGATGACTAGGGTATCAGTTTAACAGCCCCAATCCAAAGATAGCTCATTAATAAATTTCCTATTAAAATTACAGACAGGTATACCTCATTCACAGACTTCATGGTACAGGATAGACTGGTTTCAGATATAACTCCAGAGGTTCAAAATTTTAATTCTGATATGTGCAGCTTTGACAAACTGATAGAACATTGACCACAAAAATTCTTAAGAGCCCTTAAGTGGATATTTAACCCTTTTGCTATGATGTAAATCCATTCCACCTATCTTACAGATACAGGCTACTGGGAAAAGTTTTGCTACTACATCAAGAAATCTGGTCTGATGAAAACTAACAAATCTCCAGAGCCCATTTCTGACCCCACCTATTTTTCAAACATATTTTGCAGATTCATTGTTCCTGCCTGACCTCCAGAGAAATAGCAGATGCCATTGTAAGGATTCTGTCCCTAATTAAGTCACCAGCCTGCGACGGCATCCCAGCCTAAAAAAGCAGGTGGGCCCTCTGTGCATTCTTCTCTTTCCACTCTCTTTCCTTCCGTCTGTCCTCTCTCTCTCTCTCTCCCTCTCTCTCTCCCTCCCTCCCTCCCTCCCTCTCCCTCTCCCTCTCTCCCTCCCCCCATAAAACTCTAAAAAGTTAACCATGGCTTGTGATTCTTCCAACCGGCACTCTCCTCCACCAGCATGGCTGCTGCGGGCGGCGGCCAGCCACGAGCAGCGCCGCAGCATAACCAACATTTGGTGCCGTGACTCAGATAGACCACCAAGGACCTGCAGACTGCTGCCACTTGCCACCCCCTCCCCCATCCAGCAAGACCGAAAGCCCGCGAGTGCGCACACGCATCCCTCACCTCCGCTGGACCCCTATACAGCTACCACTACTGATACCGCCATGATTCTTCACCCCAGTGAGTCGCAGCTGTACTCTGAGCTATATTCTTTGTGATGGACACCCCGGGGGTTGTCCTCGATCTGTGCTGGCAACGGCAGGCACATTTTCGCTCCTGATGAGGGGGTTAATGCTGTCTCGGGTCCAACAGTGGACCAACTGCAGAGCAGCCGCAGCCCTTCCCATCCCTTGATGAAGAGGATGGCGAACTTGAGCTGATTCATAGATCACTCTCCACTCTTTGGGGACGCCCAAGATTGGAGTCTGATCCCGGTTTGTTATTTTAATTTTTTATTTTTCTCTCGGCTACAGCCATGGGACAAAGGGGCAGATACATTTACCACCAACATTGGTGGATGGGGCGGGCACCGGTAAACCTGGCCACATAACAGCATCGCGGGAACTTCTGTCAGCAAACGGGGCAAATAGTTACTTTTTCCCCAAGTTTTCTGCTAAAGTTCTAAACCCTTCTCCTTCCCCACTTCTGCATCTACCACGTGCAACCTTTTCTATCTGACTTCCATCGGCAGTGGGCAGGCTGAAATGGGTGGGCTTGGATGGCTTCTATGGACTCTTGTCGTAACTAACCTTAACTCCACCCACTTATTCTCAAATGCCTTGGGAGACACAGACGGGTCTGGTAGCGGCTAAGATCCATACAGATAAGTTTACATAGTCAGGATGGCTCTTGAGCCACAAATCATCTTATAGCCTCAGACAAGTCTTCCAAAAGGATTGGTTTATATTCTGCCTCCTGGTAGATCTTCCAAAAGCTGTCCTTAAGCCATCAATCATCAGGAGAAAAAAAATTCAGGACACGGAGTAAAATCCATCTCTTGTTCCCCAGACCTCCCCAAATAAAACTTAAGCATCTGGAGAGCAAGGCTCCTGACCCCACAGGCAAGAGAGTCATCGGTGGCATTTAAGGTATGCCAGGGAAGAAATAAAAGCCCGAAAACAAAATTGCCAAGTGCTGGCACTCACTGACTCCCAAAAGCTGTTGGGTCCCTGTTTTAAGCGAGGAAAAGGCCACGGGGCTAGCGACTGACCTGCCAGGCCATCAACAGCCTTGTTAAAAGTGCCACCTAGAAAGACAACCAGTCAGCTGACTGCCCCCAGGTGCCAAGACGCATGGGTACATCAAGCTAAGACCATCAACAGACCTAAGCTTGGCTACAGACATGGCAGGGAACCCAGAATGCAGGAGGGAGGCGATCCATTTCTTTCCTTCTGGACACCAGAGCCACTGACTCAGTCCTGGGAGTTTTGGGATGACACCTCTCCTTTATTGTTGGGAACAGAGGACAGCCTTACCCACCTCACCAGATTTAATTGCACCTTTAGAGTTACTGCCTGTGTTTCTCACGTGCATACAGACAGGGCCCTGATCTTTGCCTTGTCCCTAATTCCAAAAAAATCAGTTCTCATGCACCACAAGCTTTTCTCTTCCCAGTTCCCTGTTCTAACTCACTGTTCAGCCAATGATACAGGACCACCACAGAACCGGAGTCCAGAGATCATCAAGTAAAAAACTGTAACAGCTAAAAGGTATTTACACCCCAGACCCAAAAGCATCTGGGTGCTATAAAAAGACTTTAATATAAACATCTATTACTGTGAGATACTTTTAACAATTGATCACCTGTCTCCTGGATGCCAAACTACTAAAGGAAACAGGTGCTTTAAAATATGCTGTGGATATCATTCTGTATAAATAAAACACTGATTGGCCAGTGGCCAGGCAGGAAGTATAGGCAGGACAAGGAGAGAGGAGAATTCTGGGAAGTGGAAGGCTGAGTCAGGGAGACACTGCAAGCCGCTGCCATGACAAGCAGCATGTGAAGATGCCGGTAAGCCATGAGCCACGTGGCAAGGTGGATTTATAGAAATGGATTAATTTAAGATATAAGAACAGTTAGCAAGAAGCCTGCCACAGCCATACAGTTTGTAACCAATATAAGTCTCTGTGTTTACTTGGTCAGGTCTGCGCGGCTGTGGGACTGGCAGGTGACAGAGATTTGTCCTGACTGTGGGCCAGGCAGGAAAACTCTAGCTACATAATCTGTCTCTGATAAAGCTTAACATGTTTCAAAACCCATAGGGACAGGCCGGATCTACCTCAGATAAATGTCAACATAAAATAATGATTCTTTTCTCTCTCTAAGTTTTTTTCTGTATCACCAGCATCTTGTCAAACAAAAAGTTTCCAGCCACAGCCAAGAGGGATACATGTCTCCAGAGCAAATGAATGACAGACAGCATCCCACAACGCCTGTCTACCTCAGAAGACTCCCCTTCTCCATTCCCCCAAGAGCCAACAGATGTCCAAAAGTCAGCTGGAAGTAGTTTTTGAGAGGAATGACGCCCCTATTCCCATCTACCTGCTTTTTAATTATTATTAGCGAAAATCTGGGAAGTAAGGATTCTGTCCTTAATTAAGTCACCAGCCTGCGACAGCGTCCCAGCCTAAAAAAGCAGGTGGGCCCTCTGTGTGCCCCCTTCTCTTTCCACTCTCTTTCCTTCCGTCTGTCCTCTCTCTCTCTCTCTCTCTCTCTATCTCTCCCTCCCCCCATAAAGCTCTAAAAAGTTAACCATGGCTTGTGATTCTTCCAACCAGCACTCTCCTCCGCCAGCATGGCTGCCACGGGTGGCGGCCAGCCACGAGCAGCGCCAATTTAACCAACAGCCATGGCTTCTATACTCCTGATTTGGCATGCCATTTCCCTGCAAGTTCCTGGAACACCACTGCTGCAACCTGCCTCAGCTCCCTCAAGGAATGTTCCTGAAATCTTCCACTGTGTGTGACTCCCAGTTCCCCCTCCCCACTTCACCCCTTGTCAGCTTGAAGTAGCCTCGAGAATTCAGCACCCTTGTTCCCCCACTTGCTCCCATAACTCACCTCTTTTCATAATAATCAAAATGGAGGAATGTTAATATTCTGATCTGCCCCTTGGGGCCACTCTGCATCCTGATGTAGAAGCCTCTTCTTAAGGAAAAACTCTGCCCCTTTCTCTCTTTCTCCACTCTCACGAGGTGTGCACCCCTTGACCTCTCTTTCTCTCTTCTCTCCCTCTTTCCTATCTTCTCTCTGTCTCTCTATTATAATAAACCATTTCCTCGAAGATGTCTGGGTTGTGAATGTCCACCCACTGCCCTGCTCCCATGCCCACCACTGCATCTGCCCAACATGTCAGCATGTTTCCCTGCATGCATGCGATACCCTCAGGGTCCCCATGTAATATATCATAACAACAGGCCCTGAAACAAGCTGTTCTCATGACCAAAGTCAGGAGTTTGAGAGGTGAGCAAAACAAAACAGGAAGGAAGGAATGAAAATAAAAACAAGAGGCAATTATTGAAAGCTTGTATTTAGAACTAGCTCAAGTCATTTCTTCCCACATTCCACTGGACAGCCATGTCTGCAGCCACCTAGAGGGAAAGTACACCTGTCAACAGAGAAGCCCCATTAAGATGGTACAGGGAAAAGGCATTGTCAGCAAACAACACTTCAGAGACATTTTCCAAGGACAACAGTCAGTAGTTTTTTCACAGTGCTAGAGGTGGAGTGTAGGGCCTCACACAGGCCATACAAATACTCTACCACTGAGCTACACCATGGCCCAGCATGCTTAAGCAAGTTTAAATTAGTTTATGGCACTAGCTAATAGGGTCAGTGTGATGGCACAGCCAGGAAAGACACTTGACCCACACTAGCTATTAAATGGACTAATATGGCCCACTTCCCCATGGCTATGATTAATCCTGCTAAAAGAACCAAAGCTGTTAATAAAACACTCCCTTACCCAGACTGACAAGTAGGGGCATATCCCAGGGGTAGAATATTTGCCTAATGCATGTGGGGTACCACTTCCATCTCCAGGACAGGAGGAAAGAAACTGGGGCGGGGGGTGTTGACAGAGGAGAGAAAAGAGGGAGGGAGGGGGAGAGAGAAAGAGAAGCTAGGCAGAATAGATCATACCTGAACACCTGTGAATCCCAGCACCTCACAAGTCTGAGACTAGTAAGGGCTACACAGTGAGTTTGAGGCTAGCCTGGGCTACAGAATGAGACACTGATAGATAGATAGATAGATAGATAGATAGATAGATAGATAGATAGATAGATAGATAGATAACAAGAAATGCAGCAGGAAGGAAAGAAACTTATCTTTCTAGTCAGGAAGCTATGAAGATGAGATGTATGGCTTCAGCCTCAACCAAAACCTATTGTATTGCTATTGCAGAGGACCCAAGTTTAATTTCCACTACCCACTCCAGGTGGGTCACAAACTTCTGAAAACTTCTAGGGGATCTGATGTCCTCTTCTGGCCTCCCCCGGCAGTATGTCCATATGCTCAAATCCCCCACTCTCTCTCACACATGCATCTACACATAATTAAAAAATGAAAACAGACCCTTAAGCATAGACATTGCAGAGAGACAGAAGTGGAAAATTTAAAGAGAGAGAGGGTATAGCTGGGCTTTTTTTTGAACTGTCAGCTCCCAAATAATGACATGGAGACATCTTATTAATTATGAAAGCCTGGCCTTAGCTTTGGCTTGTTACTAACTCTTTTGTTTGTTTGTTTTTGTTTTTGTTTTTTCAGAGCTGAGGACCAAACCCAGGGCCATGCGCTTGCTAGGCAAGCGCTTTACCTCTGAGCTAAATCCCCAACCCCTTGTTACCAACTCTTAAAACTTAAAATTAACCCATTTATATTAATCTACGTTCTACTCATTCCTTCTCCTGAGTACCATACATCTGACTTGCTCCTCATCTCACTGGTGAATCCTGTCTCTCTTCTTCCCAGAGTTCCTCTCTTCCTGGAAGTCCCACCTATCCTCTCCTGCCTATCTATTAGCCATTTAGCTCTTTATTAAACTAATCGGAAGGTGCCTTGGCAGAGACACAACTTCACAGTGTACAAAAAGATTATCCCACAACAAGAGGGAGGAAGAAAAAATAATAGTTTAAAGAGCCTAGGCAGGTATCTGGGTGCAGCATTGAAATGGCTGGGATTGGAGGATCAAGACCAGCCTGGGCAACTAACAAGACACCGTTTCCAATGAGGGATGGAAGGAAGGAGGGAGAGAAGTAAGATGGGTCCCAAGATCAGATCCTCAACACCTCAATAAATTAGAAAAATAGAGTGACTCCACACTTAGACTGGCTGCTGGGGCCTGAGATCAGGGCCATTATGGACAGGGTGATGAACACAATTGTGGGTGGCACAGGAGGAATTACAAAGCCAATGTGACTGACAACCATCTGTAACTCCATTTCCAGAGGAGCTGACACCTTTTTCTGGCCTCTGAGGGCACTACATGCAACATGGTATTTAGACGTATGTGGGAACAAAACACACAGACAATAAAATAAAAGAAAGATCTCAAGAAAAAAAATCTTTTAAAAGAAGAAACCAATGGATCCTGTAAAGATACATGCACAGAATGCCTGTGTTCTTCATGAAGAAATGCCCTCTCACCAGCCCCATTCTGCCCCTAGGTAGATGCAGGCTTAAAAGAACTGACTGCTGTGGATGATTGATTGATTGATAAATAAAATGCTGATTGGCCAGTAGCCAGACAGGAAATATAGATGGGACAAAGAGAGAGGAGAGGTCTGGGAAGTGGAAGGCTGAGGCAGAGAGATACTGCCAGCTGCCACCATGAGAAGATGTTAAGATACCGGTAAGCCACAAGCCACGTGGCAACTTATAGATTAATGGAAATGGGTTAATTTAAGATATAAGAATAGCTAGAAGCCTGAGCCATTAGGCCAAACAGTTTAAATAATATAAGCGCCTGTGTGTTTATTTTATAAGTGGGCTGCAGGACTGCGGGGGCTTGGTGGGACCTGGAGAGAAGCTCTCTAGCTACAACTAACTAATAAAAGAAGTCTACCTAGAAGCTGGAAGGAAGAGCAGGAAAATAAACTTGGCAGTTTTTTGTGGCTCTTGGAGGACCTATCAAGTTAAGGAGGCCACAGCTCCATGTCCTTGCTATCTCAGGAATCCCAAGTGGAAACCTATTTGGAAGCATAGGGACTTGCCCTCCAAACCCCACACTGTCTCCTTCCAGACATATGAGACCTGAATAAAGTCTGTGTGTTGTCTTGTATGTACTCTTTTTCTCCTCTGAAAGCATACGTACATGCCTGTGCACATGTGCGCACGTACACACACACACACACACACACATGCACTTCTTTATAAATACATGTATAGCCACCTTCATCCTTGTACTTCCTTAAGTCTATGTGAACTAATAAAATCTATTTTCTTGGGGGCAGGGGAGTGCACACCCTTAATACTAGCACTTGGGAGACAAACACATGCAAACCTCTGAGTTAGAGGCTAGCTTTGTCTACATAGTGAGTTACAGGTCACCCAAGCTAAACAATGAGACCATGTTTAAAAAAATAAAAAAATCTTGGCCGGGCGGTGGTGGCGCACGCCTTTAATCCCAGCACTCGGGAGGCAGAGCCAGGCGGATCTCTGTGAGTTCGAGGCCAGCCTGGACTACCAAGTGAGTTCCAGGAAAGGCGCAAAGCTACACAGAGAAACCCTGTCTCGAAAAACCAAAAAAAAAAATAAAATAAAATAAAAAAATAAAATAAAAAAATCTGCTTCCCCTCAAGCTGCAATTGTGTTTTGTAAACTGAGCCTTCTCTCCCGCCCACCCATCTCCTCCTAAATACCCAGCAGCCGCTTCCCAAATTACCACACAGAGGCTTATATTAATTATACATGTTGGCTGATTGTTTAGGCTAACTAGCTCTTACATTTAAATTAACCCATTTCTATTAATCTATGTATTAGATTATATTGGTGGCTGTAGCTTTACCAGTCCTCTGGCATCTTGCTTCCTGGGCAGCTGGCTCAAGTCTCCGCAACTCCACCCTCTTCATCCAAGTCCTCAGTTTGATTGTTCTACCTAACCTTATCCTGCCTGGCTATTGGTCAAACAGCTTTATTATCAACCAATTGGAGTAATACATATTCTAGCATAGAGAAGGATCATCCCACACCAGTGTTTTCCCACCACCCCTCAAAGCATCTTAATTATGTACAGTGTGTTGTCATTTACATCTGGGAGAAGCACAGAAGACTTGACCAACCATGAAACTTTCTTCTCCAGCCTTAGTCCAGGCCTTTCTCTGTCTTAGCTGATAACAGCCACCCAGGCCCCTTCACTACCTCACTCTGGGAGCAAGCTCTCCCTGCTTTTTGATGAGCTATGCCCTTCATGACTACCTAGCCTTCAGATTTCAGTTAAAAGCTCACGTGGGGAAAGGCATGCCCTGACCCTCCCCTAACAGCAATGTGTTCCTTGCTGCTGATCTTGGTTAGTATCTTGCAATTTTGTTTCATTAATTTTGCTATTACTTTATTGCAATTTCTCTCTCTCTCTCTCTCTCTCTCTCTCTCTCTCTCTCTCTCTCTCACACACACACACACACACACACACACACACACACACACACATACACACCATGGACAACTTGCAGAAGTCAGTTCTCTCCTTCTTCCATGTGGGTTCCAGGGACCTAACCCAGGTCTTCAGCCTTGGCAGCAAGCATGTTTACTTACTGAACCATCTCACCAGGCCTGGTTTCCTTTTTATTTTGAGCATTCACCCTATCTGTAATATGTGTTGATTGCAAATATTTAGTTGCAGATCTCTGTGAGTTCGAGGCCAGCCTTGTCTACAGAGCCAGTTCCAGGAAAGGCTCAAAGCTACACAGAGAAACCCTGTCTCGAAGAAAAAAAAAAAAAACAGAAAGAAAGGAAGGAAGGAAGGAAGGAAGGAAGGAAGGAAGGAAGGAAGGAAGGAAGGAAGGAAGAAAAGAAAAGAAAAGGAAAGGAAAGGAAAGAAAATAGAACCAGTGTGAGACAGATGATCGGCATATAGTATTTACATGTGCATGCACAAACACAAGACATGTGCAGTAGGGTGTGGGTTTTGTTCTGTTTTCATGAATTTAATCCATGCAATCATGAGATCTTCATGAACAGTTAGATGGGCCATGACCATCTAACACTGCTGCTTGATAACAACAGGCCCAGCAGCTGGACAGAGGGTGGATATGAACCAGAGGAAGTGCCAGCTGACATCCCTGTCA